CGGCCGGTGGAACAGAGGCTGCGCTCCTGCCTCCCCGGAAGGCCGAGAAGAGAAAGCAGCGGGCCCAAGGCCAGAGACTTTAATTCCGCGAGTGAAGCGCTCTGCAGGACGGCCCGGAGGCGGCCCTGGGCCCTCTCCCGGGGTGCCGGCACCTCCCCGCCCCGCGTCCAGCCGTTCCGTTCGGTCCGTGCCTGACCATCCTTGTCACTTGTACACAACACACTCATTTTCACAGGGCCAGCGGAGCCTCGCCATGGTCATTATTGAAAAAATTAGCCAGTTACCACTTTTCTGTACAAATAACACAAAGAATTAATTACATCCAATTGCTAAAAAAAAAAAAAACCATAACTTTTTTTTTTAACCAGCATGTTTATGTACTTTGCAAGACAAAAAGTATGTCACTGTGGGCTTTTTTTTGTCCTGCCCCCCTGCAGTGACTGGCTGTCACTGCAACCAAAATGTAAATCTAGTCTTAAATGCATTCTTCTCTTAAATCTGAGCTGGTTTTGGCTGGCACACATATGGTGGGCTTCAAAATTCATCCTTTTTCCAAGATAGAGAAATAAGTGCTCAGATTTCTAGACGTACCTCCTTCACTCTAGTTTCAGAGTTCATTATATACAAGATTACTCCATACTACACAGTATCCCTACAACACAGCATTCCTCCTCATTTCCAAGACATGCAAATTATCTATACCTTTTTCTGTAAAAGCATACAGTTATTCCATGCGATTTGCCTATTCACCTACTTCTAGTTCAGTTTCTATTCTAACTTACAACCTACACAGAGTTTCTGTGTTCTGACATTGTTGCTCTATGACGGCGCTGCTTCTACAACAGCAGCAACCCTTTCCCCCACCATTACAGGCCTCTCAACTGAAAAATAACCCGTCAGTCAAGAATCAGGGAAAATAATCAAAAATCCACACCTTAAAAGAAATTTCACTTTTTCAGGATATCCCATTTACACATAGAAAAGTCAGTATCCTGGTAAGCAAAAGGAAATAAACACAACAGTAGCCACTCGTAAAAGCGTACATAAACTGAGCTATCAAGTTGATGTAGAAATCTCCTGAGCTGACAGTTAAGGACTTTCCTCAGTCTTTGTGACAAAAAATCACAAGAACAGATAAGGCATGAATCACACCATCAGTTTATGCTAGCTGTCACAGTATGCACTGTGAGACAAACTTTTACAATGCAAGAACAAGCACAACCACCTACACTCCATACAGCAGAAACTAGCTACTTTCACTTAATCTACGAATGCGGCCTCACCAGTCCTTGGCATTGAGGATCCTGGATTGGTATGTAAAGTTACCATTTGCATTATGGTTGACTGGGTATTTGTGAAACGTTACTCTCCATTTCAACTGTTCCTCGCACCTTCCTTACAAGTCACTTCCATCAGCCAGACATACATACAGTCTTAGTGGTGATTATGCTTTGGAGCTGGGCCTGCCCAGTTCTTCTTGGAAATCTTTCTTCTAGATATTTCCAATTCACATTTAAGTATTTGAAGGTATCTTCTTACAAACTTTCATCCCTGACAATGCTGCAGGAGGCAGGAATTGTATCTCAAATGTAAAAGCATCTCTTGTTGAATAGGATTAGATACACGGCACAGCTCATTTCTCATTTCCTTCACCTGGGGAGCAGCAGTACCCGCGTCAGGGGCGGTCACTGTCAAACCTTCTGCTTAGTATTTATTGATGCCAAAGATTCGAACACCATGCAACTGCGGCAGCTTGGGGATAAGCACGGTCAGGAGAGAGGTTGTGTTGAGGATAAAGTGAGTTGGATCATACTTTGTGTAGAAACTCGCCAGGAAGTATCTGTGGGAGAAAAGGGAGCAAGCTTAGCTGTAACACCCTTGTCTAAAAATAAACAGACAAAGCATAGTTGAAAAAAGTGCTTTAGTAACCAGTCATATTTTACTGATTAACAACCGATCTATTCCTGTATTACATATCTCACCTGAGGTTCTAGATACCTACAGCAAAATGATGGACTAAGTCTCTTCTTCCCATGCTTCTCAAGGTGCTAAAAAGCAACTCTCAGTATTTTCCTCCAGCATTTCTCCCTGCCCCTCAAGTTGGAGTCTGACTTCCGCAGCTAAAGCCTCATTTGAGATACAGATTTTAAATGGTGTAAGATCTGTTACCAAAATACTCACAGTTCTGCCACCCTAGCAAGCTCATTGACAAAGCGTTTGACATTTTTCATGCAAAAATCATTTATGCTCAACACATCTGTGATTGGTGTGATTTTAAAATTCTTCCCATCTGGCAGATGTTCCCAGCACATTTTGTCTTTTAAGCTAGTCCACAACCTGTTCAACTGGAAGAATAAGGAAACATGCCTCAGAAAATCCAATTCACTACCAACTTCTTTACGCTTTGTGCCAATAATTTCATCTCGTTCCTTGCAAAAAATAGTCACTGTTGGGTTTTTGGTTTTATCCCAGCAAAACGGAGATGTTTATTCAGCTACTTACGCATTATTTGGGAAGTGGGAAGCTATCTTTGAAGAAAAAGAGGATTTTTTTTTTTGAGGAATTATATATATTTTTTCAGTTTCTATCCTTTGCAAACCAACTTTCTAAACATGATGCAGGATCTTCCCTCCTCCCCCCACACCAGCCATGCAAGTGGACAACCTCTCTAAGGGAAACAAAGACTTTAATTTAGAGTTGGATATTAAATATGTATCATTTTTCCTTCAGTCACACAACCATACATTTGTCAACAGACAGGGAGTGTAGAATTTCTCATCTATTTACAGAAGTAGTGTAAACAGAAGACAATCTGCACAAAGCAAAACCAACATGTAAAATCCTAGACCCCATTCCGTGAGGACTGCCACACTCCTCATAACTCATAAGCTGCAAAATGGTTAATAAATGCTGTCATGTGCATTCGCTAAAGGCAGTTAGTTTAGATTTTCAATATTTATGACTTCACAATCTCTTAAAGAACTTCAAGAGTTAACAGTAAGTTTTCCTCATAACATTTCTAACCTTTAAAACTGGCCCCATTAATAACTGTTTACAAACTTCAACTTCAGTATGTGAATTTGAGTGTTGAAAGCTGCAGGAAGAAAGACTGTTGATTATATGGCCTGTAAATAACTACTCCCTACCTGTGTGATGTAGAAACAAACAAACAAGAAACAAAAGAGAGAAAATGCTTTTAGAATGTAGATTGCAACTCATTTGGTTGCAGCTTTTGAAATCATGGGTTTATGATTCAATTAATCCATAATGCGGTTTTGAACTCACAGAATTATAGGAGAGATTGTGAAGAATTTTCTTGAAGATGTAAATTGTACTCCATAATCCAGTTGCTCCCAGTGTGTTAGTAGCCTAGCTTTCCCCTGATCAGGAGTTTCAAAAGGAGTTCCCTTTACTGCATGCAAAAACACATACATTCCCTGGGGAAAACAAAAAGTGAATACAGTGGCACTTTTAGCTGTAGTTGTTTTCATAATTGTTACATTGTTCAATGCATTGTAAAAATAACAATTGAAAAAAAAGACTAAATGAATTCTCACCCAGAAGAGCTGCTAGCCTGTAATGACAAATTATGGAAGTGGAAGGAAGAGACAAGAAGCGATTTGCCCGAGGTTGTGCAGTCAGTGGCACAGCAAGAATTAAAGCCAAAGTCTCATGACATCTGATTTACTGCCTTGTATTCCATATTACATGGCAAAAATTCCACAAAATCAACAGAATTTTGACATGCACTGTAACAAGTTTAGGGATGCCAATTTATATTACCAATTTCCTAAGACAGTGTTAAATGAGTTATCAGGTGGAGTCTGCACAAAGCAAAAAAATCTAGCTATGAATACTAGCAATATGACAGGAACTTTTGAAAGCTTTCTTAGCCCCCAGTAGCTTCAAATACTGAGAAGCTGACTACCAGCAATCTGCTGAATACCATCTGCCCATCTCTTTGCTGCTTCTCCTTAACCACGCTGGACTGTTCTTTGCTGTTTTTTCTATTTGATGGGAGCATGCACACCACGTCTGGTCTGCCCTGAAAGATCAATTTGGCCCCAAAGATCAATCAGACAGGGAAGCCCACCCTCTTCCAGTTTTAACGAACATTTGTTTTCTATCAAAGAGAGCACACCAACTCCAAGCAAGAGTCTATCAGAAAATATCCTAAACTTCCATTTTCTTTCAAGTGCGTTCATTTCTTATGCACATACAGAAATTGTAATAGGAAGGTTTATATAAAAAAAAAAAAATCACATTTCTTCTGAATTCTTATGAAGGAAGTGAAAGTAGAGCAAGTCACTTCATGTCTTCTTCCACTTTTTTTATGGAACAGCCCCCTGATGAGAGGCCTGTTAACCTAAGAGAATTAATTCGCTTAATTAATTCTTCAATTGATGCTCTTTGCAGCGTCTCAGTTTTAATAACTTAACCAAAAAGACACTTTCAGGACAGATCCAAATGTTTACTGCACATTTTATTTTGCACTGGTACTTGCAGAAAGAACCACCAAAGGTCAGCTAAGAGTTTTCCATTAGTGGAAATACAAGATTTGTTTGTCAACAATTCAAGGATTTGTTTCCACAAAAAAAAAAAAAAGTGCCATTTAAATGCTGAAATATCCAGAAGTGCAGTTTATACTCATCTTCTAGTGTTCCACTAGAAAACTACTTGACAGTGCATGCTCTCATCCCTGCTGTCATTATAGCTACTTGCAATGAATTCAGTAAGGCATTTGGGAAATATTTAGTAATATTTGTCTCTGCCAACATCTTCTGAAGTCAGGCACCTCTGATGCTGTCAAAGATAATGTAGAAAGTGCTCTAATGATGTTTACAATCCCACCATTAGTTTTAAACCTAGCTACAGAAATAAAAAGCTTGAATTACAAGATTCTAGAGGATATTATCCAACCTCTGTCTTTACAATGAACTATCATTTTCCTAAATAAGGAAGAAACTATCTTTTCGTCAAGTCTTCTTTGCTGTTAATCTTGGAAAGCTGAGTTAGAAAACCTCAAGTATGATATAAATTGCTGGATTATGGCCCTCTTTTCTCTCAGCGTGGCAGGACCAATATACATACTTGCATTACTTTAAATGATTACAACAAAATTACAGCACCCTGGGGAGAGGAGGCAGAAAGATTCTTAAGGTCTTCAGCTTTCAAATCCTTTCGCATACAAAAGTTACCACGCAAATCACAATCCACTGAATAACAAATGGTTTCAGGGCTTGGGTCATGGTAGTCCAGTTTTTCCCCACTGCTTTCAAATAAGATTTTTCTTATGTCATGTATGGTGGCAAAGTTGAATGCTAAAGTCATTCTGAGTTAAAATATATCTAGCTTGACCAGAAATCAAAGCAAGAAGGAAAAGAACACAAATGTTTCTGTCCCAGGAAGCAGCTCAAGTGCTGAAATTAAACATTTTGGGATACTAACAGTTTTATTTACAAATGTTAGTAGATACTATCCAAGCATTAAAAATGCAATATATTTTATGGATTCAGCATAGGTCTCTAATAATATACCAAACACTGTAAAAGTCAGTTGGCACAGTGATTTTATGTTTGCAAGATTCCAGTTTAATTAAATGCCTTTTAAAAGAATACATAAAATATGTAAGGAATATTTCACATCTTTTGTGTTTAAACCCAAAGCGATCATCTATCACTCCTCCTCCCAAAAACAGCCAACTCATTTAACAGTGGATAAGCCAAATGGAGGTGGTGTTTTGGCTCGCTGGATTTCATTATCCATATAGCCTGGCTATTTTTCTCTTCTCCTGCTACTAAAAATGAATACGTATGAAAAACTTTTCAAATTTTGTTACAAGAGAGGGTACTTACCAGGTTGTGAATCACATTTGTTAAAGTCCAGGCAACCGGGACACTAAAGAACGGAATGCTGAGCAAGACAATGTGCAGCATGCCAACTCCGAGCGCGTATGTCAGCCACATTCCACGACTGTTCATCACCCGTGTGTTTGGATTTACCTCGCTGTGGGCGACTCCTACGTTCATTTTTACCCTATAAAACAGAACTGTTTGAAGATTGAGACTACTGTTATAGAGGAGTACTTAATGTATGCAAATTTTGAATTTGGGAAAAGGCTGTTTTAAATAGCAGGTCTGGAGGGAACACAGTGCATAAGCAAAGATGTATCTTCAAAGTATGGTTTACAGAGAAGGCAGTACAAAGGGGCTGTTGGGAACTGTTTTTTTAAAAAAAAAATCCAAACAAATAAACCCCACAAGCATGTTATAGAAGAGGCATTAAAAAAACCCAAACTGGAATCTGTGCTGTTAGAAGCTGAAGTTGCAAACCTGTAAGAAACCAAGCTTTGTAACTTTTGTCCTCTAAATGCCTTTCTCCATCCACAACAATATCCACATTTCTTTTCCACTTCCCATATCAGACAATTTTCCTCCTGCTTCTCATTCATGTAACAGCTAATGAAGAATTCTGCATATACCAAAGCCCAGCCACCTACGGCTAGAAAGAATGAATAAGGACTAATTTATGCCTGCTTTTCTTGCAGCAGAGCAGAGATTTCAGATTTTCCTCCACTCCCCATCCAGTAGTTTTCAGACAGACATCTCTGTCTTTCAAATCTGGCTGAAATGAGCCAACAGGTTAAAAAGTTTTCTAAGCGACAGACATACACAGAGATACACAGAATAATTTCATAATGCCGATTTCTTCAGGAGACTGACAGAACTTACTGGAGGTGACAGTCTTGTCCCGCTGTACTAAAATTTGTAACGATAATTAAAAAAACCTCATTATATACTTCATAATCACATGAGCTGTAAGACTACCTATACTCACTTATGGGACTGGGACGGAGAACTTTTAACTTCCTTCTAAATCAGTCTACAAAAGCATTACTTAACCAGCAAAAATAGTTTGCTTTTGGTAGGAAGCTTGCTTCTTATACTTGCTTACTGCAGTAAAGCACTGTTAATACCCACGTACTTTGCACTATTAGCAATAGGCCGTAGAATAAAAATAGATGTGATGAACCTGAAACTGAACCGGGGCAATGCTGACTTTAATCAGCGCTCGTTGCAAAGTCTGTCACAGGGAACACAGTACCGGGATGTGTGAAGCCAGACTCTTCCTCCCTCCCTGGGATGCAGCACCGCAGGCGAGCGAGCAGCTGGACGTACCTCTTGGCACAACCCACCATCTCTTCCTATTTTTTTCCTCATGTTTTTTGTCTAATCAGATGGGCGCCTTCCCTCAGTTCGCTGTACCCCGGTGTTTTCTCCCTCATCGCCAGGAGCCCAGCCGCACGAAAGAAGCGCGACGTTCCGCCCGCGGACCCGGTGCAGGTCCCACCGCAGGAGCCGGGGCCTCCCCGGAGAGC